AAACAATTAATTGATTAAAAATTGAATGGTTGAGATGAGGGTTGTATAGGATGTAGGAATGACAAAGGGTGTAGAATAACATCCCTATATATATATATATATATATATATATATATATATATGTATCAGTCAAAGAAGCCCTCAATTTCTAATTATATGTGTTTGTATGCATATATTTATAATTAACATATGTAATTCAATATATTTGCATCAAGAAGCTAATATAGCCTACAACAAAGATTACAAATTTAACGTCTAGTTTAAGAAAATTAGCTGATCATAACACTTATTAAAAGTTCAAAAAACTTCGTTTTAATGCTATTTCGTTTTAAAACCGTTTCAACATTCCCATCAATAAAAAAAAACGATCTTCACTAACGATCCATTTTATTATAAAGAATTTAATTGAAAACTAATTTAAGAGTTAACATTTATCGACCCCGTTCATAATATTTTCACAATAAATATTCATTAAAAACATAGAAAGATTCAAACTTGACCTGAATGATGTTCGATAATATAGTTATGAGCTCTACTTCAATTATTGAATAATCAATATTTTATATGTTTATAAGGTAAATATTTACATTTATTTGTAGCATTGGCTTTTGTAGGGTAAATAAATAATAGGGGGTGGTAGTAGGGTATGACTTATGATCAGCATGAACATTTCTACTAGACTATTAATCATGCTTAAATAGTTACATCAGCTCCATCAAAAACTCATATATCTAATAAATATAACCACGTTTATTTTTTTTTTTTAAATAAATTACATGTTTTTATATTTAATTTTATAAGTTATATCAAATTAAATTATGTATTGCATTTTATGGAAGCAATTATTTTACGATTTCAAATATTATATTAATAATAAACTTAAAGTATGGTTCGAAAAAGTTATTGCGGGCACCTACAACAACGACGATATATTTGTGTTTGCATTAATTATGGTGTAAACTATATATTTTTTTAAATGATTTTTTTAATTAAACAACTAAAACGAGAACATGAAGAAAGTAGTCTATAAGATGCGGGAATCAAAACCGAAGACCAAAAAACGTAGCGAACCCACAAAAAAAAATGAAGAACAACAACAAATTAAGCCATCAAAATCCTTGATATTATATTGTTAAAATGAGTGATTTAATCATTTGACCATATTAATTATTTCGTTACAAAATAATGACAAGTAGAAAATACATATATAAATTTGCAGTTTATCCTAACAAATATATGTTGATTTTTTTTTATTTTTTACATTTTAATAAATATAATAATAAAGTTCACAACTAGCTAGGCTATAAATAAAAATTATGTATCAATTGCTCTATGTAGTTTCTAATTAGTTTACTTCAAAACTTTCAAAACCGATTAATACATCTATATATATAGTATATTTTAAATACAATCATGTCTATTTGTACAACCAACACAAACCAATCAATTTAGATATTTATAAAAATGATGAGAGTTCATTTTTTATGATTTAAATATTTATGGAACATAACTAGAGTTCATTAATTATGATCAATACTTTATATTATGAAACATTCAAAACTTTTATGAAATCATATATTCATCAAATTAAATGAACGATTGAGATTGAGTTGTATAATTGGTTGTACACATGTAAAAAGTTGCATAATAACTCACCTCTCTCTCTCTCTCTCTATATATATATATATATATATACACTATAACACACACACACATATATATATATATATATAATTATTGTTCTTATGATAAAGTGAAATCATTTGAAAATGAAAAATAGCAATATTAATAAAGAATAAAATTGATATAAAAGTAACCAATTGGGTTGAGGCTGTCGATTAAGAGTCAAAGATAGCACCAATAAAACCCTAAACTATGTATCATCATTTAAAGGGTTCAAATCTTATTTTTGAATGAATTTCGATAAATCATCGTTTAAAAATATGTTAATGAAAGAAAATAATAGCATCTGAAGTGAGGTAGTAGGTTTAAAGAAATTTTAAAACAGGAAACACTAATTAATATATTTATAGTATTTATTAGAGAAGCACATATATATATATATATATATATATATATATATATATATAAATTTAAACATAAACAATAATGGTAATATACAGTGGAAGCAATAAATAACAAAACCCAAGAAGAATGTTTTGAGAGATGAAGCAGCAAGTATACCTCGACTTGGGTTTGAAGAAATTTGATATATCCAATAGCCTCCATTAATACCGAAGCTGTATCAGTCTGCAAGCATCGTTTTCCATTCATCCACAAATTTAAAACACAATCACACACCATTTTTAATTCTTTTTTAATCACCAGTATGGGTCAAATAAGACATCTCGGCTGATTTTAATTAATAAGCTAAAAACAAAAATTCAAATAAAAAAAATGGGAAGTGGCTGGATCTGAGATTCTGGTGGAAATTGATTTATTGGGGGACAGATTAATGGAGCATGTTTTTATTTATAAGAAATAACCATTCTTGAAGTCTGAGACTTGAAGGCTTAAGGATTGTAGGTGTAAGTAATGTGTGTATTTTCTTTGTTATAACCTTAAAATGTACAGACACTATATATGTACCTTGCCAAAAGGTGCCACCAGCTGCTGAATGGCTGCAATTCTGTCCCCTAATTTCTCCTTCCTGACCTGAATCCATACAATAAATATGCATAAATTGGAGCATAGAATGAATCAAGAACACCCAGAAACTGAAAACAACAAAAAGGAAGATTAAAAAGATTAGTTCGTTTAAATGATATCGAAACACTTTGGTTAAACCTGAAAGGGTGCCGAAGAAGGGCGTGGCTCCAACTTTGATTTCTTCACTGATACGGATTGAGTGGCCTTGGCGTTGATGAATTTGCTAGCTGGCCTCTTTGCCGGTTGACCTGTACTTCCAGCGGTGGAGATTGATGATATCTTTAATAAGTTGGAAACAGATTTAAAGTTTGATTAGTTTTTGAACTTTGAATATATCATCATCATGAAAACCTTGTCAAAAGGTCATAATTAGGGACTGGATCTTTTATTCTAAATGAAAAAGTAAAGATGAATGTCAATGTATATAATGTATAAAGCTGGAAGTGTCATTTTAATGGGGTAAAAGAGAAAAGAAAAGGAATCAATACTCCATTTTAAGTAGAAACGTATTTGCAGAGAGAGAGAGAGAGAGAGAGAGTTATATGAAACCCCACCTTGCTAGGGCAAACTGATGGCCTGTGACTTGGTTGATGCATACTATTAAGACCATAAGAAAGACAACCAAGATTAGTATGGCCATTGAGCGACGAAGGATGGGTAAAGCTTCCATCAAATCTTGGAGAGCCAAAGAGATCCAAAGCTGGCAAGGAGTTCATATCAAACGAGCTTGAAGAAATCCCTGAAGATGATGATGACGACGAGGAGGAAGATTGATTCAAACTTGAAATACTTATAGTGGGAAAATTTTGACTAAATATTCCATTAGAACAGTTTTGATCGTTTATAAGCTGGCCACCTTTGATTTGACATCCAGTACTAGAGAGAGTTGTAAGCAAGAAATCTTGATTATTATTTGAGTAGCTAATTTGTTGATGGTGATCATTCTTCACGTAGCTAGAGGAGGGGTGTAACTGTAAATCTTCGATGCTGGATGTCGGGCTGCAATTTAACATATCTAAGAATTTCGGATATGATTCCGAGACTGAAAACTCGTCCTTGATTCTTGAAAGACGTTGCAATTCATGAGTCATGAAGTTGTCTATTGGATACCCCATACCATTGTTGCTGCTGCTACTACTCCATGGAAATCCCAAGTCTTGTGCCATGGAATCTGTACCTGTGTCTAGGCAAGGCACAAGATTTCTTGAGTTTATGCTATTGTTTGTGCAGGTCCTGCATGATTTAACAGACACAAAAAAGAAAACAAAATGGGTTATATATAATATATCATGCTGATTGAGGATTAGTTTTGTAAGTGTGAAAGAGGATGTGGATTAAATCAAAACCCTAGCTAGAAAATCTCCAAGTGATCAAGAAACATAATGATTGCAAGGTAATCAATTAAAGATGAACTTTAATCCAAAAAAGACAACAAAAATAAGCAATTAAACATATATATATGACCAGTATGTGATGTTTTAGTACATAATTATGAATTTGAAAAAAGAATCAAAACCTAAAGTTCAAGAAAGCTTGAAAAACCATATTAAAGAGAGAGAGAGAGAGAGAGATGGCTTACAAGAGGGGATTTTGGGACCAAGAAAGACCATAGCAAGAAGGGATAGGAAAAGAAGAAGAATCCACAGGTACATGATCATCTTCTTGATGATAGTGATGAAAATTTGCAGGCTCCATTATTTATACGAGTGATTGATTACATATACTGCTAGCTAATGGTCTTGCTTTATACAATAATTTTTGTGTGAAAAATTAACTTCAAAAGAAATCGAAAACGAAAGGGAAAGGGAAAGGGGAAAGGGAAAAGGGGGTGAGGAGAGCAACAGCAATGTTAGCAAAGAATCTCTATATCACTGCACTCAGGTGACACCCACATACATGGACATGGATACATCTATATCTATATATATATATATATATATATCTCCTTGTGTGTGTGTGTGTGCAAGCAGGGAGGGCTTTTAGTGATGCTTTTTCGTAGTTTCTGCTGCAATATTTACTCTTTCAAAGTCTCTTCTTAAAGTAACCCCTTAAAAAGAAAGAAAGCAAGAAAGTGGAACCAGGAAAAAAGACATTAATATATACGTACACACATATATACATATACATACATATATATATATATATACATATATATATATATATATATATATACCATTCTTGAAAGAGATAGATCACTTGATTGTACGATAATTTTAATTATGTGTTCAATTAAGTTGCTAAAAGTAACTTATTAATGTTAACTAATTAATTGTTCTTGGTCTATGAGATATCTGTTTTCAAAATTGTTATAGATAATTTAGAGAATTAATTAATTAATAAAAAAGAATATGGGATAAATTAAGTGTTGATAATTTTGATGCGAATGATAAATTATTACCAGATCCTCTTTTCAGTGAAACTTTTTTGCAGCTTCACCAATATATAGTATTTTATTCATGAAAAATAAAGATTGAATAATAATTAATAGATGTCACCTTTCTTTAATTAATTCGGTAATTATGCTGCTGCAATTAGAGGGAGATGATTGATTATGGTTGCTCTCTTAGTCTTACCACCCCATAATCACGAATCTGTGCCTTTGCTTTCGATCCCAAGGCCTTTGATAGCACCCCCATCATACATACATACAAATATATGTGTGTGTATGTGTGTGTAAAATTAAATACAGATCATGCAAACTCATCCAAGTTGTCCAATTCGCTTAATCCAAGAGTTGTACATGTCATCTTTAATCAGCTATCAACCATGATTTTATTCCCCATAATTATCTCAAACAGTTTCCTCAAAGTAACACATTAGATTTCATTCGTGCTTCATTTAACTCAATTCAATTTTGATTTGCTACACATACATTAAAATGAAACCGAAAATTGAAAGTTTTAGAGATTGGGCTGTCAGTATTGATAATGAGTTTATAAGTTGAAGCAAGGTTGAAGCTATCGCAATGGTTGAAGATGATGAAGGTAAAATTCACTAGTATATGCATGTGGTAAGAAAGTGTATAAAGTTTTGTGGTGTTTTGTGTAACTATAATGCATGTATGAACAATAAAAGGTTGTAGATGGTTTGAAGATGAAGATGATGAAAGCAAGTTAAAGATTCAAGAGTTACAATTTACAACATACATAAGGTAGGTTCATAATTTGAATACGATGTTGATGATGAGTTTAGAGGTTTAAATGATTGTGAAGATTTCACAGTCCTTGAACATGATCGATGGAGGTAACAGATAATGTATGAACAACAAGATGTTTTTCACAACGTGTCTCGAGATTAAACTTTTATCCAACATGTTTTTAACTTCAAATATTTCATTAAAGCTTAAAACATACGTTGTTTCTTGAATAGAAACAACATTTGATTCAATTCTTCTTCTTCATATCAACAATTGGGGTGATTGTGATTTAACCATTGTTTGTACGTTCTCTTCTTCTTCGTTGTCAAGTTAAAATATTAAAACCCTACATATCAAATTGTGAGAAACACGATGATGGTTGTGAAATACTTGGATTTTTCATCGTCAGAATCTTGAGCAGCCATTAATGGATCAATGTTGATTGAGAGATACAAGAAGCTATTTGAATGCATTGGAATCTTAGGGGCCGTTTACTAAAAACTTACCCGGTAAATGCTTATTGGGTAATTTTTCTTATCAGATGAAGATGACAAGGGTCAAAAATCTTACCCGATAAGAGCAATGACAAATATTGAGAGTCTTACTCGGTAAGCGAGGGTGACAACTATAACAGAGTAAATTGTTGCATACGATATCACTTTGATGTACTACAATCTTACATAGTAAAATAAATTATAGTGTTTGTCTCATAAAATTAAACACTTACCGGGTAAGCATTTATATAAACGGCACCTTAGATTATGAAAAACACGAATTTGGAGAGAGTGGGAAAAAAAATTCGCTCAAACAATTTTTTCTACTTGAATTTCATCCATTGAATCTGGTAATTAGCCTTTGAACTTCCCTTATCCAATGATTGTGGTGGTAGTTTTCCGTTTATTTACAAGTACGCCACCGCTTCCAACAATCTTAATTTTATGAAAGGGATTGGATGGTTTGGAAGAGTTCTCATAGTTTATAATGTTTAGAGGATTTTTATTTTATTTGTATATATATATATAGGTAAATTATTATGTAATTTTTTACATTTGTACAATTAATACAATTCAATATTAATCGTCCATTTAATTTGATGAATATGTGATTTCATAAAAGTTTGTTTTCTAATATAAAATATTGATCATAATTAATGAACTATAATCATCTTTCATAAATAATCAAATTATAATAAATGAACTCTTATCATTTTAATATATATCTCAATTGATTGTGTTGCATTTGTTATACAAATTCGATGGATTGCATTTGAAACATTATATATATATATATATATATATATATAGGAGCCTAATCAAATGATAACTGATTAGTTTGTGGTAACTGTGAGGTCCAATCTCAACCACAAATCAACGGATAAATTAGGAAATTAATAATTATGTTAGTTTGAGTTAAAATTATAATTAAAGGGCATTTTACGTATTTAAAAAAAACCCATCTCTCCTCTCTCATCTCTCATCTCTCCGACCTCCAATCTCCAGCCTCCGGTGAAATCGATATCATAACATATCACAATGGGTATCACATTGTGTATTACAATGGGTATCACAATGTGTATCTTTGTTTTTAAGGTTTGAGTTGGTATCACAATGGTATCACAATATATCACAATGAGTATCACATTGTGTATCTTTGTGATTACTTGGTACCTGTCGGATTAATGTTCACCGGAGGCCGGAGATTGGAGGTTGGAGAGATGAGAGAGGATAGAGGAGTTTTTTTAAAAAAATACCTAAAACGTCCTCTAATTATAAGTTTAATTTAAACTACCATAATTATTAATTTCCTAATTTATCCGTTGATCTGTGGTTGAGATTGGATCTCACAGTTACTACAAACTAATCAGTTCTCTCTTGAATGAGCTCATATATATATATATATATATATATATATATATATATATATATAAAACAAGGAATTTTGTATAAATCATACAAACCATCTACAATCATTGATTTATAGATTAAGTGTTAGGATTAATTGAGCTTATTTATGTAAATAAAGAAAAAGATTAAAAGGTTCTTTAAATAAGAGAGCACTAAGGAGAAAATGGGGAAATTAAATTGATCCTTAATCATGAAAAGCAATAATCTTGTGTTTATTTTTTATATTTAATTTTTGATTTATCAATTTAACATCTATATTTTATTTATTTTATTTTATTTTATAATAAATAAAAACAAAAACATATATAGCTTAATCATCAATCTATTTTTATTACACAAATTAATGATGAAAAGTGAAAATTCAAAGTAGAAATTATATTTTATATCTCATTTTTATAAGTATATTTGTAATTTTAATATCTTCGTATTTGTATTAATCAGTTTCATTGTTTCATGTATCAGTCTTATTGTTTCATGAATCATTTTTTATTGTTTCATCATTGAATATTTATTTGTGGTATGTTTCATCACATGTTTCATCACTTAATATTGATTCAGTTATTCCGAAGTCTTTGTATTTATATGTTTATTTTGATAGGAAATAAGATGAATCAACTAAACCCTCTTGAGGACTTTCTTTTCAATTCAATATATTCAAACAAAAAATAATTTTTTCTGAGATGACTCATAGACCTTACATACCGGTCATGACATGTTTCATCACTTATGTCACTACAACAAAATTGGGTTTATAGGACACCTCAATCTCTAAGCATCCCAATAGACTGTTTTATAGGACTTAATTTATATGACCAAAATATAAAGCGTCCTATCTAAAGGTGTTGTAATAAGTTTATGTGACGCTTTTGGACGTCTTAACAAGTTTTTTAGGATATTTTTAATACAAAGTATCGCATTAACAACTTTATAGGACACTTTTGAGAAGGTGTCCTATAAACTCAATTTTTTATAGGACATTTATTTTTATAAGACAAAATTTTTCAAATAGTGTCCTATAAAGTTGCTAATGGGATGCTTTATATTAAAAGTGTCATAAAAAACTTATTACAACGTCAAAAAAACATCATATAAACTTATTACAACTTTTTTAGACAGAACACTTAATTTTTTTGGTCATATAAACTAAGTCCTATAAAGAGGTCTATTAAGACGCTCAGAAATTGGAAGTGTCCTATAAACCTGATTTTGTTATACTGTGTCATGACCTGTTATTTATAAATGAAGACAAAAAATATGTATAATTTGATCAAAAAACGGTTACAGAAATTAATATTGCCTACTTTCCATAAATGAAGGGAATATTAGATAAGGGATAACTATCATAAGTTAAATGCAAAAAATAAGGAAGTTGTTAATTGTTTTATTTAACCGCCAACATCAAAATGATGAAATCAGCCTTAAGATCTAAAAAAATCGAAAAAAATGGGATTTTGTGATTGGCTGATTTTGGTTTCCACAGTTTGTACGAATCGGTGTGATTTATAAATGATCGCCTCCCTATATAATATTATATATATATATATATATATAGAGAGAGAGAGAGAGAGAGAGAGTTTGTTTCAAATACAA